GAGGATGTGTTTGCTGCAGAGGATGCCGATTCGGATGTCGAGATGCAACCAATCGGAGATGTCGCCCCAGACCTTGGGAGCCCAGTTGTTGTGCCAGCCAGACAACGTCCTGCAAGAATAAAAGCAATTGTGAATAAGCTGCACATAAACACTGGCCATGCATCTCCAGAACAGATGCTTCGACTTGCCAAGCGATGTCAGTCATCCCAAGAGCTGCAGCGAGCCATTCGCGATTTCAAATGTCCAGTCTGCGAAGAGCTCAAGGTCCCAGTGACTAGGAGGCAAGCCACTATGCCACATGCAGAAAAGCCCAATGAAATTGTAGGAGTTGACTATGTCCAGGTTGAACTAAAACGTGAAGATAGTAATGGACAGGTCATTGAAGATAAGTACAATGTTCTGACATGTGTATGTCTTGCCACAGGGTTTGCGCAACAAATCATTGTTGAAAAAGGTTACAAGCTTCGTTCAGCTTTCCATGATGTTTGGGGAAGACCATATGGAGTTCCAAAAGTTGTGTATATGGATCCCACCTGGTCCAACATCAGTAAGGAATTTCAAGAATATCTTGCGCAGAACAACATACAGTTGCTGTTGGCCGCCGCCGAGTCTCACTGGCAACTTGGATTGGCCGAGGTCACCAATAAAGTGCTTCGAAATATGGCACAAAAAGTGTGGAAGACGACTAGAAGACCAGCCCAGGAAGTCATAGAGACCTGTAGCAGTGTTCGTAATGAACAGCTTCGTAGATGTGGATTCTCACCAGCACAATGGTTTCTCGGTCAGGACAGCCGACACGTAGGCATGTTGATGGATCTGGATGAACAACAAAACATCGCAGTAGCATCCCAAATCATCGAAGATCCCGACTTCTATGCAAAAGTTCGTTTGAGAGAAGCCGCATGTGAAGCTTTTCACAAAGAACATGCAAAAGATATCTGGAGACGTGCCTTAGCAGGTCGCAACCGACCGATGCGAGGACCATATTGTGCTGGACAGCTGGTGTACATCTTTCGTAGAACTGCCAGAGGCCTTCTGTCTACACGTCATGGGGTATGGCTAGGACCAGGTAGAGTCATTGGAACGGAAAGCTCCAAGAATAGCCCAATACCTCGAATAGTGTGGGTTATACTTCAATGGGTATTTGTATCGATGTTCACCAGAAGGACTTAGGCCAGTTCCTGAAGAGGAAGCAGAGTTTCGTAGGCTTGCTCGTGATCTTTCTGAAGGTCGCCTCGAACCGGATGTCGAGCAAGCAGAACAGTCTCTGTCAAGTCGCAATGGACTGTGGAAGGATCTGACCACCGATCTTCCTGGACCCGAGGACTTCGATCTTGAAGAAGATAGACTCGAAGAACCCATAGATCATCAACCCCCGGATTATGACGAAGAGGGCGGACCCCGCAAGATCCGTCGTAGGTATGATAGGTCCCAGGAGTATTGGATTCGTAGGTCAGAGGGCGCACCACCTCTAGGAGCCCTTCATGAAGGAGAACAACCAGTGATTGTAGGCATGAAACATGATCGTGACAGCCTGGACCCAGAGGACGAACCCAGTGCAAAAAGACATGTGACTGTCAACAGTGAAGCAGAAGAAATCGAATATGAGCCATCGATCCCGGGTTCGCCAGTCCATCAATCCGCGGATGAGCCGATGTCTGATCGCACTGATCGCACAGATGCCGAAGCCTCTGATAGCCAGAATGCAGATGATCTCGATCAGGATGGCAATTCCGCAGAGCAAAGCCAAGAATCACATCTGCCGTCTGCAGAGGAAGCCACCCGTAACCTAGAATTAGCCCAGAACAGTCCTATCCCAATAGAAGATGACGATGATGAACTGATAGCAGAGGAAGTGACTCACTATAAACCGTCCAGAGTGCCAAAGCATGAGGAAATCTTGGAAGTTTCTTTAAACATCACACCTGATGACATCACGGATAACCATTTGTTTTTGTGGAACATACTTGAAGAATGTTTTCTTGTGGCTGAAACAAAGGCAAAACAACGTCGCGTCGAGGTGAACTATCGTAAACTGAGTCCAGAAGATAAGAAACTCTTCGATAAAGCCATGCAAAAAGAATGGCAGTCATGGATCGACAACAGGGTCACCTCTCTTTGCAAATCAAGGGGAATTCCACGAGAGAAAATCATTCGTGCTCGTTGGGTATTGGTTTGGAAAAAGTCATCCGACCCCGATGATAGGTCAAAAACCCAAGGCTAGATTGGTACTCGTGGGATGGCAAGATCCGTGTTTGGGCCAAATAGCTACAGACTCACCTACTTTGAAGAAAAAGTCCAAAAACCTGGTGTTATCCATTTGCGCCGCCAAAAAGTGGAAACTTTGGGGAGCAGATATCAAAACAGCATTTCTTTCCGGAGACCCTTCCGATCGAGAGCTGTATTTCCGCCCGCCTCCTCAGATCAAAGAGTGGATGGATCTCACAGATGAGGACCTCTTCAAACTAGAAAAGGCTGCCTATGGGTTAGCCGAAGCACCCAGAGCTTGGTTTTTGCGTCTGAGCCGCGAACTTGTGTCAGCAGGTCTGAAGGTATCCCAACTAGATCCCTGCCTGTTCACACTTCGCAATAGCAAGAACGAACTCATCGGTGTGTGTGGAGTGCACGTCGACGATTTGCTAGGTGGAGGAACCCCCGAAATGGATGCAGCGTTAACCGAATTAAGGAAGAAGCTACCTTTTGGTGATTACCGAACCTTTACAATTCGTTACACTGGCATAGAAATTCGGCAAAACCCTACCACGTATGCAATAGAAATTGGACAAGAGGCCTATATAGATGGTTTGAAGCCCGTAAGTACCAAAGAACTTGGTAAGGCCAGTACACCTCTGAAGGATCCATCGATTCTTAGACAGTGTGCCGGACAGCTGGCATGGGCCGCTGGTGCCACTCGTCCTGACCAGGCGTTTCTAGCGTCTTATCTGCAGGGAGTCCAGTCCCAAGGCACTGTTGCACATGTAGAGATGTATAATAAAGCACTTCGTGAAATGAAGGAAAGAAAGCTAGTCTTAAGATTTCCAAGCAATATTCCTATAGACCAGTGGAGAATACTGTGCATCAGCGATGCTGGTTGGAAGAAACGTGCTAATGGAGATTCCCAGGGAGGCTTCCTTCTTTGCCTCACAAATCCGAAGATGCTGGCCAGAGAGCAAGCGCCTGTATGGTTGATCGATTGGGCAAGCAAAAAGCTCAAGCGAGCTATTCGTTCAAGTGTTGCAGCTGAGACCTTAGCTGGTCAAAATGGTTTAGATTCCATTGAGTTTTTGCAAGCATTGATTCTTGAAACATTGAAGGGAGTAACACCTCGAGAGTTTCGTGAACTCACACCGGACGAGCCGTCGTGTTTGGTGATTGACTCAAAAGGATTTTATGATGCATGCAATAAAACCAGTGGTTCATCTACCACAAGTGCCGAGGAGCGTTTGCAAATAGATTATGCCATCGCCCGTGAGAGCATGAAGAAACAAAATATTTGGGTGATATGGATAAATAATCGGTACATGTGTGCAGATTGTTTGACCAAACTTAAGGGTGAAAGCAAGCCACTGTTCGATTTGCTTGAAACCAACACATACCATATTAAGAAATGTAAGGTGTCAGGTCGCAAGGAACTTGCTGAAGAGCGAGCAGGTCAAACCGAGCAAGATTCGGAATAGCCACAAAGCTGTGCATGTTTTTCCCTTTTTGTAGCTAGATGCTGGGGTGTCCACCGGAGACTTAGATTCGAACATGACCAAGTCATTTTTGTCGAAACGTCTTGAACCTCAGTGAGTGCCATAGTGCTTCCATCAAAAGGACCAAAAGAGATGGAAGGAGAGAATTCATTTGTTTTTCTTTGCCGTCGCCAGAAGGCGAGACTCAAGCCGTGTGATTTTCCTTTGTAAGTGCCAGAGCCATGAGCAGCCATGCAATGGATGCCAAGAAGGTACGTCGTCAAGAGATGTACCCGCCCTTGAGTGCCGATGAAATCGACACAGCAGCAAGGCTGACCACTCGAGCCATCATGAACGGTCAACAGAACCAGATGTTCTTGATTGTTGGATCACTGGATCCCCGTGCTGAAGCTTGGATGATGGAGAAGACCCGGATCTACCAAGGATATGGTGGAACCATGAGCGAGTCCGTGAAGCGCCCGCTCGATTTCAGCTTACTGGAGGATGCAGAATCCACAAGCCCATCATCGGCGTGGAATGAAGTGTCGTTGACGAGTGCCCGTGCATACCATGATGGACCAAGTGCCTCTGTTCCCATGCCCACGTCAAGTGGAGCCCTTTGCATGCCGGAGACCTCAGTCGAAGATGAAGACATGTCGGTCGAGCTACCAGCTGATGTGCATGATGTTGGAACATGGGGAAAGACCATCGTGAAGATGGAAGCCTATGCTGACCGCAACTGGCGGTACCGTCAGATTGTGGAGGAGGCCAAGTCGGACAAGAAGGTCCATGGATATTTGAGCTGGATTGTGAAGACCTATGGAAAAGAAAAGAGTGGACCCGTGAAGAATCAGGCCACCGACCTTGCTCGATTCCTGTTGCGCATTCGCTGGACCGATTCCAAGGCAAGCTCCCTTGTCGGCTTTGAACGAAAGATGTGAAGGATTCGAAGCTGCATATGAAAGCCCCTCTCGGACAGAGGGCGTGTGAAATTGCCCTTGGAGTGCATTTCTTGTCAGGTGTCCTCACGTGGCCATATTGGCTGAAGGCCTTGAGCCGTTGTTCGGCTTGATCGGAAAAGGCGCGTGCCGCTATGTCGTGAGGTCTAGTGACCTAGGACCGGTTGCAGTTGATTGTGATCTACATTGACATTGAGTTGTTGGGTATTTGCTGCTACCAGTTCCACAAATATAGTATATTACTATATATTATATGGGGAATGATGGGGGGGGTGGATCAAAGGCTGAACCGGAGTCCAACTTGATCTCCCAGGTAGGTTGTGCTCACAGCCGTGCCCACCGCCGTGACGCCCAAGTCTCCGGTCGCCTGGTCCGGCAGCTGTGGCTGGGCCGTTGGCTGCCTGGGTGACACGTCAAGGGCGGTGGGTCGGCTCATCAGGGTCTTGCCAATCATGCTACCTCCAGCCGAGCGTGTCAGCTAATAGAAGTCATGACCATGACTCCTGCAAAAGCTCTGAAAGAGTTTTTTCAGAGAACCGAAGACGTGTCTTCTTCTTCCTTCAGAGTTTTGACATAGACGAAAGACAGGACAGTAGATCCTCTCAAAGAAAGATCGACAGGAACCTCGTTCCTTGAGTGACTTGAAGTGAGATGAGTCGACGGTTGCCGTCCTCAATGAGTCTGGGAAGACTGGCTCAGTGCCATGCCAGCGCAACACGCGAAGGCCCCCAACATGTGAAGACTGATGTGAATGAGAAGCCATGCGAATCGAGTGCGTCGATAAGTCCAGGACTATGTCCATATTGATGAGGGACCTTTGAGATGAAACATCATGAAACAACATACAATGATCGATGAATCCACTTCAGAAGGCGAGGTGGCGAGAACCAATGACAACAGTAGCAGGTGGTGATCTGTGTGAAATCTCGTGTGCCGCTTGCAGTTTGCAGAACACCCGAACACCCACTCAATGAGCAAGGGGTTCAGCAGATTAATCATATATGGTTTGAACTTTGAACATATCGACGGGGAGTTGGCTGGAATACACTGATTAAACTCTAAACATTACTCCCTGAAATAGAAGTGGAAAACAGGCCCTTGGAAGACAAGTGGTCTTTCTTACAAATTGAAGGTGGGGAGGAATCACACTACTGCTTTGCTTTCCAGTGCAAACAGGGGGACTCACACCATGGAGATCCTGGTGCATACGATCAACACCTGTTGTTTTGTTTGGTTGCGACGTTTTGTGTTTTTTAGCAGGATATTGCAGGATGAAGACAAGACTCTTCAAGAGCTCGGAGCTCTTGAAGGCTCTTGAAGTCAAGAAACCGTCTCATCGTCTCTGTGTTTTCTTGCGCTCTCAGCAGACTCTTCAGTCGTCGCTCCAAGCTCCCGTCCTGGGTCTCCCTACCCCGTCACGGGATCCTTGCGCAGCACCGGAGGTCCTGCAGACCGCAGGTGCGAGGACAGCAGACCGGGCTGAGGAAGCGGGCTGAGGAAACTGGGAGGGGATGAGAGGCGGACGTGGTTTCGGCCTGAGCGGCCTGAACCACTTGTGTTTTCATGTGTTTTCTGCCCACACAGCTATGGTCTTCTGGAAGAAAAGCGATCCTCTTCAAACCTTTGGTGATCCAAAGGGTGCAATACTCAAGGACCCTCTCCTTGGTCAACTCACTTTGAGTTGTTTCATGGTGTACAAAAGGTAACATCTTTTATGAATGGGTTCACACTCCCATCAACGTTGTAAGTTGCAAGCACCTCCTCAGAAGGTCTTTGGGGTGGCTTTGGGGAGTCTTAGACTCCCTTCTGTGCTTGGTCCTCTCACTTCAGAACCCGACTTCATTCACACAGTATGCTCCAGTATCGTAGAAATCCTCAGAAGGCATGGCTGGACCCTTCGCACAAGGCTTCAAGGCGCACCCAATGTTCCGGCCGTTGGAGCCTTCAAACTTCACCAAATCTCCAGCCTGTTCGACCCTGGCGATCCACACCCACCGATCTCCCCGACGGACGGTCCTAAGACTTCGCCCGGCCTGAGGCCGACACGAGCCGAACCCGAACGAGGCGGGGGCTGCCGGGCTTTATAAGTCCTATCACTTGGGTCTAAGCCTAAGCTATTGCCAGTAACAGTGGATTCATGATGACCAGCAGTCACAAAAGGGGTGCTTAATGGAGGATAAGGGATTGATAAGGGTGCCCATTATCCACTCACTTAGGGGCTAAACACCACCCCGACATGTGACTCTTGGGATAGTTGTTTACTGTTGTTTCTTTGAACCATTACGAAGTCCATCAGAAACATCCACAAGCTTAGTGAATTGCTACGATCCAAGCATATAGGGGTGTCTATGGTCAACCACCGAGCTTGGAATGATGGGACTTCGTTGCTCATGCCGCGTTTCCGGCTTTCCCGCAGATGTTCCAAGCAGGTTCCGACCGGATTGAGTGGCGCTGTTACTGTTGGTCTCCACTTTGGTCGCCTCTCCACGTCTAATCCGGGCTTGGTGGACCAAAGAAGCATCCCCGAAGCGTCCGAACCACAACGTCCTCGGACGACTTCCGACCGACCGTATCGGCAGGGCCAGGGCCACCCGGTTGACCGATGACGCCGATGGCTACGCGGCAGGCCCCGGAATGCGCGCGGTATGTCAAGATCTTAGAGGATCATTGTGGTCCAAAGCGAACCACCCGAACATCGACCCGTACGTAGTAGACGTTGTTTCCTGGACATCCTGCACCGCAACATGCACACACTGCAACATGCCCTTTCTTCACATTGGCACACCACCGAAGAGAACCCCCTGAGGCGTCACGCCTAAGGGGGCACAGGGGCGACATGACCCAAAAAGAGGGGTAAAGCGGCGATTTCGTCCATCAACAGTATGTAGACCGTGGGTTATACATAAAAAAACTACCCAACAGAATAATGGTGTTTCATGTTTTGTGTGTTTTTGGAACAAATCTTCATCCCTCATCATCCGTCAACCTGACAGGACCTCAAAGAAAGGGACTGCATGGAACTTCCAATTCAATTGAACTATCAATCCTATGTCACAACTCCGCAACATTTCGGAGCTGGAGGTGGACCCCTTTGGGGAACCCCCTTTCCCTTTCCCATCGTCTCCCTTCCCGGAATTCTTCATCCGGCGGCTGCATGATCTTCTCCCTGTCCTCAATGCGTCGGGAATTCTCTCGTGTTGCGTCGTGGGTGTCGCTGTTGTCGAATGGGTCAATCATATGGTCAATCTATCCTCCCTCAAACAATCGTGGAAGTGGGAGACGGCCTGTTCGTAGAGGAAAACAGTCTTCGTGTTCCACTTCCATGTTTGTTGAATGGAGGGTATCCCAAACACGACTTCAACTGGTCTCGAACGACCGCCCAACAGGACCACTGGTGCCGGTGCCTAGTCTCTCGTTGTGGTCGCTAGCAATCTCTCAGAATGAGGGTGGTATCGTGATCTGCTGAAAACAAGCTGATGTCCATCGACCAGAAGCTTCACCGAATTCGATAGTCTGCTGCTCTGTTTCTCATAACGTTCTCTCTGAAAGTGGGAACCAACATGTACCCAAACACTCCATGAAACTGGAAAGAAATCATACGTCGAACTATATATTCTCGGCATTTATCCCCGTTCCAGGAGCCGTTGATCGTTCGTTGATCCTGTTTGGAGTCGTTGAGTCTCCCATTTTCAGGGCGTGCACCTCCCAGCGATCGCAGACGTTCACCGGGGACCCGAGTTCTTCGACCAGCGCAGAACCGATGCGCCGGACGGTCGATTTCGGCCGTCGGCGTGATCGGCGTCGCATGATAGGGCAAATGGAGCAAATGTATGACTTCCAAGACCATTAAAACAATGGTTGACCTGGTTTTTGTAATGTAAAATCCTTAGTTGATTCGGTAAAGCCTATTAAATTATATTAAATTACAGTAATCGTTGTTTGGAAGCCTAGGGTATACCTGGAGTCTCAAACCTCGGAAAACGCATTGATTGCCCAAACGCGGAATAAGTGCTTGGAAACTGAGAGTGGGCCAGTGAAGTGGAGCAGTCTGGGGAAGTACTTGGAGTCTCAAAGTACACTAGGAAATCGGGTAGTCTTGTTGATGTTTTGTCGAGTGGCCAGGATGGAAGCCAGGCTTGGAATCATGAGTCCCACGAACTCAGTTCAACCAGATTCGGGAATTCACCTTTCCTGTTGGGTCTGAGTCTGAACTCGGGGGATTGGGCGCCACTCCACCGACCATGCCGCCCGACCATGCTCATGGACTCGCTGATGGGGCACAAATGCTCCTGCGGCTCGTGAGGCCGAAAAAGGGGGAAAAACACCAAAGGCGCCGGCGAAGACCCTTCATCTCCTTCCCCAAAAGCGAGCGGTGGGACTGGTAGGACTGCCGAGAAACGGCCAGGGGTGGTGCCAGAGGGGTCAATGGGGCGGCATATATATTGGCAGTGGGGTTTGCTTCAGGAAGCTGAGAAAAACACAAAGGAAAAGTCGTATTCCCATGTATTCCCCGCTGCAGGAGAATCTCCTACAGAACAGTCAAGAATCACCTTAGTCAAGCAAGACCCTTCATCTCCAAGGAAGGTTTCTATCTTTCTCACGGATGCAACAAAACATAACAAAACCAAGGTAATCTCTTCCAATTCCAAACCAAACCACCCCAGTGTCGCCCCAGTGGGCAACCGCGACAACAGCCGGGCAAAATTTTTCACCAACCTTCTCATCGATTGGACCTCCCCAAAAAATAGGTGCTTCCGAGCTTGAAACATATCCATTCTTCACCAGGGATTTCAAGCTGTGAATCCACAACTCTTCTGATTCATTCCCTTCCCCATCCTTCCCCCCAAACGCCACCCCCTCGCCCTTTGAGCGCCTGTCGCCTGGCGCCGTGCCGCGCTGGGGCCGCGTGCCGCGTGCGGGAGGCCTGAGCGGAGCTGCGGGACCGAAGAATGGCTTTATAGCTCTGGCTTGAGCCCAGGTCAAGGTTTGGAGTCTAGCTGCGTCACGAATCCTGGTGGCTGTTTCGGTGGTGAGAGGCTTCTGGTTGGGTTTTCCACAGCTCGAATTCTCCCATGCCAGTAGTTCGGGTCGCAGTTCAGGTCTTCCAAACAGCGTCTCTTAAAATGGAAGGGAGGTGGAAAAATACGGCTTCAACGGAAACACCTCGAAAGGCTCGAGAGGAGTCTGAAGAAACTCTTTCCCACGAAGGCTCGAGGTGAAATGAGGATCATCGTTTTCAACCTGTTCTTCTTTAAAGTGGGGAAACCACTCCCCCCAAAAAGCTTAAAGCTTATGGTTAATAATCTTGCTTTTGGCTTTTGATTAGTTCATTTGGGCAATGAACCGTGCGTGCCTCGAGAGGTGCCGCTGCCGGTGCCAACACGAAGGAGGCGACGTGCCACTCCGCTGGGGGCCCATGTCGGATGGAGCGATGCCCAGTGTCGGGAGCCGTTGGAATCAACAAAGCCAATCATGCCATCATATCTTGTATTGCATGTCTCGGCGGCATGACTCTCCCTAGGGATCCAGTCGTACCTCGTCAAAAGGTACGACTCGACCCTCCTGGCACCTACATAGCGGTGTCTCCAATCACCTGCTGAGAAGGTACTTGGATCCCTAGGGTCTATATTGAAAAAAGAATAAACATGTTGAGATAGAGACATGCATTGAGAATCCCCCCAGAAGATCTTCGCATGTCTGGGGTTCCCAAATCGGATTTCATGAGAGATTCCGCCAGACGGTCAATACGACGACGACCCGCGCCAGCGCGGCTGGGAAGTGCTTCGGTCATCCGGACGCTTCTGGTCGTAGACTGTGTAACCTTCATCTACTATAAGCACTACCCATACACGACCCGTCTGGGACTGCCATAGGACTGCCGATCAGGCCAAGGGTGGTGAAAGGAGGGCCAACTGATCGGCAGTCCTATGGCAGTCTCCACACGCCGAACCTGAGGTACGGAAGGAGACACTTTTATGCAGGTCTGGAGGGTCCAACATGGTCCAAGTACCTTCTGAGAAGGTATGTGGATCCCTTGAGGGTAAGTGTATAGCAACCCCACTCTGTGATAGCCCGGGTCACTGAAGTGTCAGTGCCCCACATGAATTTGAGTGGCCAGCGTGGATGAATGCCAGCTGGTGAAGTGGAAATCTGAACAAATTCCCCCCAAGGGTGCCTGGGAAGATGCAAATACAGCAGTTTGATGACATTTCAGTTCTTGCCTAGCAGGAACTGAGATCAAAAGTCTACGGTTGCTGCCAAAAAGGTTGAAGGACAGTTCCTTTGTCGGGCAAAAAAACAAACAAAAACTATAAATGAACAGGTCCCTGCCTGATCGTGGCGCAGTTGAGGCTGCATTGCTTGCTGCGGCCTGCAAAAAGCATCGACCACATCGAATCGACCTCACAAGGGGCCTTCAGTATGCCAATCACTCTATCACCAGCTGTTCACTTCACCCCAACTCCGCACCGAAAAGGCACCGAGTTTCTCGGTTTCCGTGCAGCTGTTCACCCCCCCCCGGGCCCATAGACTCAGACATATACCATTTTCGTAGGGATCCAGTCGTACCGAACCTCAAAAGCCCTGGTACGACTGGACCCTCCAAACCCACCTACATGTCTCGGTGGACCCTCCGTCCTCACCGTACCGGGCCGGTTCGGTACGACAACGGATCCGGAGCTCCGGAGAACTCCAAGCCCAGACTACGTTCCGGTGGGGACCTCGAAACACCTCACGGTGTTCGTCCGGGAGCTCCACGCAGCGGGACTAAGGCCGACCAGCAGACAGAGGTATCTTCTATCCCATACACTCCATCTATGCCTACATTGACCCCTTTTCAACCACCCTGGGCTGATCGGCCTGTATGACAGACATGGAGTGTCTGGGTGTAGGTCTTCGTTTGCGTCGCGGGGATCGGAACAAAAACGCATGGTCAGGTTGTGTGTGATATACGCCGTATACCCTATATAGAAGTCCAGTTAGACGGAAACTTTGACGCTGAAGTAAAGGACGTTCCCGAAATCAGGTCCCCTATAGTCAGACCATTCTTTTGATAGTCGACTGGACTCCCAGGGTATAGCTACCTAGCGCTTCCTGTCCGGGTGCGGAGTAGGAGACCTGTTTACGGTCGTCGAACGCCACCCATGTCCAGGCTGATCCTGGAGAATCCATTTCGGCGGTCCGAGAAACCTTCCACTGGTGTGTGTGGAAGTGTTCTGCCGTATACGGGACTTCATCCCCGTCCGGACAAGTTCTGCCCAGGACTGTGGGTCTTCCATGGCTCCTCTATACTAACCCAATGTGGACCTCTGCAAGGAGGGTTCTTCTTTTTTTCCAACACCTCCCAAGTCGGGTGGTTTAGAGACCCACCCTTTTCAAGGTATATTCCACCAACCACTCCCCGATTTCGGGGGTTGTCAACAGGTATACAGGATGGTACAGGTATAGTGGTTGTGGAACTTCCATCTGCTGAGCTCGCTAAGCTTCGAAGCTCAAGCTTGGCTGGTCCACACACCGGACTCACCAGTAACACTGCAGTTCACTTCCTCCAAGGCCTGAAGTTGGCACTTGTAGCACTGAAGGCTGAAGTGTCCTTTTGACCGATGTTTCCAAAAAGAAAACAAGGCAAACATCGACCGATGCCCGCAAGTCTATGCATGGACCACCCACTGAGGTTTTGTTGTTGTTTGTTCCAATTCTTCAGCACAAACCAGAGCGAAGAGCACCAAGAGAAGGCCACGCTGGCCGTTGAAAAACCACCCATCGCTTGAATTGGGAACAAGGCGGTTCCAAAGAAACCACCACTGTTCCGGTTCTGTTTCCTCCCGCTTGAACTCTAATTATCCCTCTCACCATGACCCCCCCATATTCCGCAACAACTATACCCGATACAGTGTCTATCCAGGCGCGGTGTGGAATCGGGAGCGCCACACACGTGGTACCAGTGGTGTATGGTCTTGCTCCACCCCCAGTCCGTCGGAGTTCGACAGCGATGCATGAGCCATGTGGAGGTGCGAAGCCAAGCCCGTCTCTCTGCCAGGGTCCAGCCCACCGGACTGCAAGATCGGCACCACATGGGCACCAAAGCAAAAACATGCAAAAACCAATGCATCTTGGGGGTGAGTCACCTGTTCAGACCCATTTTTTACATGGTCTTAGACTTCCGGGGCCTGGCGGGCCTGGCGCCGGTTCGACCTGAATTCGACACCCGTCTTGATCGAAAGACCGTCTCTCTGAGACGACGTCCGCACCCTCCGCACCCTCCGCACCCTCCGCACCCGGCGCCATCCATGGCCACGTTGGCCATGAAACCTGGCGACGTGTTTCGACACGTTGAGCGTCTTGCGATTGCGGCACAGACCATTGCGGCACAGACCTACTGTGTGGGCACAGACCCACATGAGCACCCACCCTTGTTGATCATCATAGATCCCCTATCAGGTGCTGTGGATACATCTAATCTAAACAAACAAACTCATGTCGTATTTAAAATGTCACTCCATTTTTTCGAACAAATTGATTCCTCTTTTGGACCAAATGAGATATGACCCCCCCCCGACCGGCACCTTTTGTCCGCCCTTCGTTCGCCCAACTCCATGGACTCGTGTCACTCGTTTGACGAGGGATGACTGCCATGTAACAAACGGATAGAAACATGTAGAAACCATAGGTGCGACATTCTGTATATGCAGCCCGCCAATGGAATCATTAAGTGCATGGTCTGACCAGCGTGCCAGCTTTAGGTGAAGGAAGCTACCGTGATCAGAAGCAGTCGAGATCAGGTGGAATCTCTTGTTCAGAATCATACATCATATGGTCAATACCTTGTCGAACCGCACGAACGACCAATTGCAGATTCTCCCCCACATTTTGAGGTCTGGCCATGGTGATTTAGGCAAGCACCTGTCCAGCAGCTCTCTCGAAAAATGCCAGGGGTTGTGGCTCAAAGCTGATGACTTCTGTACGATGTCCTTCCTGATGGATTGGATTTGCTGTCCATGATTTGGGGAAACAAGACGGTAAAACCCTTTACAGCTTGAAAGAAAGAACAGCATCAGTTCTCCCAGTGACCCTCGCTTGTTCGGAACGAAACACGCCGGCCTTGGGCACCAGACCTTTGGTCGACGCGGAAGTTGGTTGAGCTGGTGGTTCCACTGAGCTCGTGTGCAAAAAGGAGACTGGATACAGTATCATGATCCACCCTAAGAATCCTTGGGCCCGACCTCTTGGCAGGGGTCGGGCCCGACCTCTTCGCAGGGGGAAAAAGGGCCCGAACCAAACCCTATCTGTTTGAGGGCCCGGATTCTTAGGGCAGTATGAGGGAACGTTCGTTGTTTTTGGGGTGTCAAAAAATGGGATGTTCTTTTGGACGCCCAATTCCACGCACTGACCAGTGCTAGCATCTTTCAGCACTGTGCTTATGCTTCGCATCCAGCAGGTGCCATTGGTCCGCACGCAGGTGATCGCAGGAAAGTACCGAACCGACCGGGTACGGTGATCAGTTCGACTGTTCCACATCCGGTGCCACTGGTCACGGAGCCCCGTACCGTGCGGTGAGAAGACCGAACGCAGCCCGGGAGCCCGGAACGTGTTCCGATCGGTTCCGTACAGTTCCGATTCCGCCTGGCCAAATGGGTTTTTCCCTATGGCAAAAGATCCAAAACCCTGAAGTGAGTTGCTCAACTTTGAGGGACGGGCACAAAGCATCAAAAACCTGGTTTGTGTGAGCACGAATCCATGTTTCGTGGGTTTGAGGGCCACTGCTAGAGTCAATAGCATCATCCGAACACCCTTTTGCTGCGCCCAAGGGGCTGTAGAATCTTCTCCCTGTCCATCATCTGTGCCTCTGGTGGCGAACATGCACAGGGAGCAGTGAGAAAGGGTTCAGACTTCATAGCAACGTCATACGCTCCGACCATTGGGATCCAACATATACAAAAGCCAACACGGCCAACTCACAAGCAATTGCTTCTGCCAACATCAAGTCATGATGCCCCTAAGATTTGCATTTTTTCTAGCCCTATAAGAATCCCTGCCCTCAAACAGATAGGGTTTGGTTCGGGCCCTTTTCCCCCTGCGAAGAGGTCGGGCCCTTTTCCCCCTGCCAAGAGGTCGAGCCCGGACTCGGATTCTTAGGGAGGATTCTTTTACTTTCATAGTCCGGAACCTCGTGGAGCCGGGATGATGGATCCAGACAGTTCCCGTTGCAGTTCCTTTCGCGAGATCTGTGGTGGAAGACTCCCGTCCCAGTGGCTCTAGTTGGGACAAAAACAACAGACCGAAAGGCGGTAAGGCATCCACAGGGCCAGCGCTATCATCAGCTATCAGACCCATCTTTCAAGCAATGTTTTTGTTGACGTTCCTGTTTTAGTTCATTACTAAAAATAAACTTTAAAGGCAAGCTGAAAGAGTAGGGACATATTATGAGGATTTGTTTGTTCACCATCCACACCATACCAAACCAATGTTTGCAAAAAAAATCCTATTTTTTTCCGCACGTGGACTGATTCACTTATCACTAACCCATACACTCCATGTATGGAACATATGCCGCCCCATTGACCCCCAGTTCAACCACCCCAACTGATCAGACATGGAGTGTCTGGGGTTCTCGTCTATGACGAGGAGGTCCAAAAGCTGGGAGATGCGGGGAGCAACGATCGACGGCCGCGAGGTCAGGTGTCACCAAGCGAAGTAGGCCACGTACGTGGCGATTTGCCAGGAGGGGCAAAAGACACTCTTGGGTTGAAAAAAGGGCGCCTTCATGGGTGGCAGGGTGAACTGGGTGGTATAAAGCTTAGGGATCCAGTCGTACCTTCTCAGAAGGTGATCGGAGATCCTGTGATGTAGTTATGCAGGTTTGGAGGTCCAAGTATCTTTTGAGAAGGTATGTGGAACCCTAGGGAAAAGAATTCATCCTGAGTACAACCACCCACCAAGAGAGGTATCAAGTGACGCTGGGGTACACATATGGGATAGTCCAACTAGGGTCCTTCTACCTCAGCTGGATGGGTGTTATCATACCTCCTACCTTACATGGAGGCCATCTACCCCCTCCCCTGGAATAGTTAATTTTATGAATCCAGGGTATCTCAGCTAAATAATCCTGAGCTGCTCCAGGTCTGGATTAGAAAATTGCAGCTTTATTGATCAGAGAGGTTTTAGTCTTAACAAGATCACAAGCAAAAATCAGTCAGCAAATGACTTATTTAACAAGGAAGCTACTAGGTGGAGGCCATCGCTATTAGGTTGGAGGCCATCGCTACTAGTAACAAGAAAGCTACTAGGTGGAGGCCATCGCTATT